CTACAACCTTCCCAAACAAGTGAAAATGTGTGAAATGCAGACTTTCGTGTTCTCGATTTGACGTCACATTACCCACTAGAGCCATTCCTCTTTAAACTCGGTCGTGGGGCAAGATGGCGGCCGATTTTCCGTATTTTGACTGGGCATTGAAAATTGAAGATTTGAGCAAATAAAAAAATTTTTGCGCAGAAATACTCAAAATAATAAGCTTACTTCGTTAAGCGAAAAACATTTTTTGGGTGTAGGTGCACTTTAACTTTTTGCTGAGTAAAGATGATTTAAAGATCTTCAGGGTTTGGTCCCTGTATGATGTGAAAGCAACTTTTTTCGTCGACAGTTGCATTCAATCCATTTGTTTTTTCAGTAAAATATGTTTTTAATAGTTGTTACCTGTTTCCGTATAAAAAGACAAAAACACGAAAACGATATAAATTATATTTAGTGATCTTGCCTATTGCTATGAACTCCTTTCTTGGAATTGACATTCTTGGGATTGACTTCATTTGTTTCAATGCAAGAACGTCAGCAGCTGTCCTTTACGCATATAGCTAGTTCGTTAAAATTCATGAATTTCATGATGACGGAAACACAAAGGAGAGTGTAATTTAAAAAGATCGCCTCCGAACTGCATGGTAAAAATTCGTCTACTGAACTTCGCATGGACTGATATCTCTTTGTCGAAGCTCTTGAAGTTAATTAACAGTAAATGTTCCCCATCGAATCTAGTTAAACTCGCTAAACCAGTGGTGATGACTATTGACTGGTTCTGGATCGTAGGTTGGTTTTTCACTTTCTTTGGCCTGGTGGGAAACAGTTGGGTTATTTTCATCATAGCGAGAAGAAGAAGATTACAAACAACAGCCAACTGGTTCATCCTTTCCTTGGCGGTGGCCGATCTGGGTGTTACTTGTGGATATTTCCCAGCGGTCATGATCTGCAATGTGCTTGTGGTTACATGCAACAACGACGTTCGCCGAATAATCGCTTGTTTCTTCATAAGAGCTTCTGTCTTTTGCCTCACCGCCATGGTTACTGAACGCTATATCGCTATCGTCCATTCCTTAAAATATATCCGTTTCTTTAAGACGAGAAACGTGGTCATTATTATTGCGACCTGTTGGACAGTTGCGATAATTTGCGACCTCATCATTGATCTTTCCAAAAGCGTACTATCCGCCGCAGAAAAGGTTATACTTGGTTCCATTTCCATCATGCTCTTCCGAGTGTTACCAACAATGTTTCTTTGCGCGGCACATTTTCACATCCTATTAATTGCTCGCAAACACTCTCTCGAGATGAAAGTTCTTTTCAAACAAGTTCGATTCAACGTCGCAGCAAACTCTGTCAAGGTAAAGGAAGTTAGAAATGCGGGATTAAAGGCATCCACAGTGAGATTGGTAACAGTACTTGTCTTTATATTTGTGGCATATTACGGAATAGCTAACCATTGGGAAATCTGCGATAAATTTAGTCTTTGTGATGTGTCTAACCATGAAAAAGTGGCAGTAACATTGCTAATTTTGGCCAATTCTACGCTAAACCCCTTTGTGTACGCATTTTTCAAAGAAGATATTGAAAGAGAATCAAAAGCTTTCCTTTGCCGCAGGAGGAAATTGAAACTACGTCCCTTCCAGGTTCATCCAGAGTAGCAAGACAAGAACTGTGCAGAAATTCTGTCTACAAAATAGGTTTAAACCAAAACAAGACCGGTTAACTTTGCCAAATACGTTTAAATTCAACCGAGATCGTAGTACCGAAGATGAGTGGAGACAAAGCGCGAAATAACTGAACAATTTCTATTCTCAAACAACAATTCAAAGGTCTGCACTTGCCCGTACGCTTATTAAAGAAGATCTTAGGAGACTAAGTATAAAACTACACCTTTACGACTGAAAGACACACTCAAACTTAAAGACTTCCAAAGCGTGAGAAATATTTCCGTGTCTTATCGACCACCAGGAGAACAGTCATGATCACTGCAATCTGTTAGGGAATTCCACTTCTTTTTCACGACTTTTTTCTCAGCAAAGGTGAAACATCTGTAGTCGGTGTCATTTTCACAATACTAGAGAGCTTTAGCAACGACGACGGCGACGGCAACGAAAACGTCGCGTCGAAATCTTAATTTTGGATTTTGCAACTCTTTCGAGTTTATTCCGATGTGTTTCACATAGAAGATGCTGGCGAACTATTCAGGGACTATATCACTACGAACGGCGTTAAAGTAAGGAGAAAGAAAGAAAAATTAATCGTCATGCGCTCACGTTCTCGAGAAAACCTAAAGTTTGGTTATTTCACGTTGTTGTTTTACCGAGAACGGCAAAGAAATGTACCAAAATGTTAAACGCACGTGCAGAGTGATTGTTTTTGCTAACTAAGCCTATTGCTTTCGGCTGTTCTCCTTCCCGTCGCCGTCGTCGTTGATAAAGCTCCCTACTCTGTTTACGGCCACGGGCGCGCGTGGTATCAAAGACCTCGGGTACAGTTTTTTCCAATACAGACCTCCTGGCTGGTGAATAACATATATACAGAGAGATAATGATCAAAGAGATAAGAAAAAATGAAAATCGCTGTAAAAGAGCTCTCAATGTCTTAACAAGCACTAAGTTGCGACGCTAAAGAATGGACTAGTGAGTTCTACAATCATTTTCAGGCTCCATCTGCCTCATTCATGACGCATGAGGTCGATTTCATTTTGGGAAGCGCTATTTCAAAGTTGTCAAAGAAGTAAGAATGATGTTTGAACTTAGACAATATAGACTCACTGAGGGTGCATTTATCAAGATAATTATCTAATAGTTGTACATTTCTATTCTACACGATTGTTTAACGATTTGCCAAATAAAAATCGCTCTCAGAACTATTTGGAGTTTAGCTTCTGTAGGATGTGAAGGCAACTTTTATGCCAACAGTTGCATACATTTGAGGGCTAATTAAAACATGCTTTTATTAGCTGTCACAAATTTCCCATTAAGCGTTTGAACAATTCACGAGATATGTCAGTTTAGTAGAGTAAAAATAAATAAAGGCTGATAGTTTCGAAAGAAACTGTTTGGGGCTGCGTCGGTGGGAGTAACGAAATAATTTGGATATATCAACAAAGTTGAAATGGTAAATTAGCCACCGTAATTATTACAAAAGCTGACGTTTCGAGCGTTAGCCCTTCGTCGGTGCGAATAGAGGAATTGTGGGTTGTGTGTGCTTTTAAAGGCAGAAAATGGAGCTACGTTATTGGTGGGAGCATGGCAACGAGAAAAACATGAATAAACTAGTGGAATGAAAAGCGTTCGTTGATCCCT